GGAGGAGGAGGAGGAGGAGGAGGAGGAGGAGGGTAGAGTAGCCTCGGGAGACGGAGGTAGGGGGAGGAAGGAGATCGCAGACCTCGCTCGCCGCCGAGAATCTGCTCCGACCCCGTCGGTGATGCTTCGAAGATCGCTGGCGGAGGGCCTCGCTCGCCGCCGAGTCCTCGCGTCGCTTCGCCCTCCCCATGCCCTGCGCCCCGCGGCGTGGCGCAGGGCTGGGCCTAAACGCTGCTTTTCGTCCTGGTCTCGTGGTGCGCTTCGTTTTGCTCTGCCTCTTGGTCCTGCACCTCCCTGGCCAGAGCGAAGAACGAAGCACGGCCGAAGGCCAGCAAAATAGCGTCCGGGTCCAGCCCTGGCGTGGCGGCAAGGCCAGGGGGTGGGCGGAGGCACGACGGGGGGGGGGGGGGGCAGCCGAGCTGAGGCGAGGGGGGAGGAGCACGGGTGGCTGAGCGGGCCTCTGTGCTCGCGACCGTTGCTCCATCGCTCGCTCTCTCTGCGAGGCGGGGACTTATCCGTGTCCACCGCCTGGGAACCGACGTCCTGGTGCCTCAGCGGGCGGTGGATATGGCCTGGGGGCCCGAACATGTTCACATCCACCGCCTGCCGAGGTCCCAGAGAATGGATATTCCAGGCGGTGGTCATGTATAAAATCCCGCCTCGGACTCTCTCTCTCTCTCTCTTTTGAGGGAGCGGGAGCATGGTGGGCTTGTTTTCCACCGCCACCACCATAAGCAGGAGGGGAAGGGGGGTCCTCCTCCACCTCCCCCTCCTCCTCCTCCTCCTCATCCTCCTCTTCTTCCTCCTCCTCATCCTCCACCTCCTTCCCCCTCCAACTTGTGGTGGTGGTGGCGGAAAACGGGCCCATCAGAGCACGAGTGGCGAAGCGAGCCTCTGTACTTGCGATCAGTGTCTTACAGTTCTCTTGTGCTCTCTCTCTCTCTCTCTCTCTCCCTCTCTCTATATCCCACCTCTCCCCGCTCATAATGAAACAGGGAAGCTGTCCATGCGCATAGCGCTGGTCGGCACGGCTCGAATCTCAGCGAACGGCTGAGATAGCGTCAGAAGGGCATCGAGAACAGGGCGGAGAGGAGCAGACGGCAAAATGTGGAACAAATGGTACATGTATCTTTTGGGCGGGTAGTGCGGCTAGATTACCGTGCGCCACCTTGGTGGATTGTTGGCGCATATCTGGTGCAGCACAACTGGGGCGTGAGCAAATGAAAATGCGCGAGGGATGCGTTTAGAGCCAAGAAGACGAACAGCCCGCAGCGATGTCAAACACTGCCCCTGCAATTGACGCCTTGCCAATGGCCTAAAGTGGCACGCATTGCTTCCTTGCATTCCCAAGCTACTGATCCTATGCCAGCTTCCACTGCGCACCAAGGCTGAGGAACGATTTCGTCTGCCACGGTTCATCGCCGTCCCCCTGGTCCATCCCCACCTCCACCTCACCAACACTGGCTCTCCCCCCTTCTCTCCTGATCCTCATCCTCACCCCTCCCTCCTCCTCCTCCTCCTCCTCCTCCTCCTCCTCCTCCTCCTCCTCCTCCTCCTCCTCCTCCTCTTCCCCACCCCCTCCTCATCCTTTCTCGCTTCCATTCCACCTCCTCATCCTTATCCTCCTCCTCCTTCTCCTCCTCCTCCGCCTTGCCGCCTAATGCGACAAGTACCGCTACTCCGCGGCCCTCTTCCGGGGCGCGTTCTGACTTCTGAAGCGAATACAGCCGCGGCGACGAGGACCTCCCAGAAGTCCAAAGCAGGCGAAAACGTGGCAAGGGTAGCGCATTCGGTACCTTTTTCCCCCTTCTGAGCAGCGGGCGCCTGGCAGATGTTGTACTCCAGGTGCCCGGCCAGCGCCTGCACCAGCGACGTCTTCCCCGTGCCAGGCGGCCCGTGGAAGAGGTACCCGCGCTTGTGCTGGGCGCGGCCGCGGCGCGCGCGTTGTGAGAAAAGACCGACGGGAGGCATTTGACACACTGGGCTTTGCCTGACGGGCTCTTAGTAAGGAGCCGAGCTTTATACACCGATGCTGTTTTCCGGTCCCGCACTGAGATTCGCACAAGAAAACAAATTATGGTGTATACGGCATCCTGGTGTATACATGTTCGTTGTTTCCAGGGGGAAACAGGGAAGCAAGTATACACCACACCACCCCGACGTCGTCCCCGACCTTCAAGGAAGTCCTGGGATTGAGCAAGAGCCCGCCACTGGTAATGTATACGCTCCAGTTTCCGACTTAGCTGTCCCCCAGTCAGGGCTTTTCCTGCGGGGCTCTTATCTGTGTTTGAAGCACCGGTTGGTGCGGGGCTTGCGCTGGCCCGAGGTCGCCGGATTCCTAGGTCTTGGCGCCCTGGTTCCTTGGTCGTTGTTCCTTGCTGCCTTCCTCGGGTTCCTGGGTTCCTTGGTACCCTGAAGTCTTGGTCTCGGTAGCCTGGTTCCTTAGTCTTAGTTCCTTAGTCTTGGATCCTTGGTTCCTTGTTTCCTTGGTCTTGGTTCCGTTGGTCCTTGGTGTCGTATTTCCTCGGTTCCTTTGACGTGGCTCATCGGTTCCTCATTCTTGGTTCCTTGGTTCCTAGGTCTTGATTACGTGCTGCTTCGGCAAACAATCTGCCACACAGTGCCAAGCAAAGCCACGCAATGGCAAACAATGCCTAGCAATGCAAAGCAATGCCAAGCAACGCCAAGAAATGCAGAGCTATGGCAAACAATGGTAAACAACGCACAGGAATATACCAAGCACCAAGCCAAGAAATCTGCAAGGCAATATGCCAAGTAACATGCTAAGCCACGTGATAAGCAACGCAACGTACCATGCGGTGTGCCAAGCAGTATGCCAAGCCATATGCCAAGCACAATGCCGAGTCATATGCCAAGGACTATGCCAATCCATGTGCAAAGCAATATGCCAATCAGTGCCAAGTAGCGCGCCCATGCAATAATAATAATATTTCCCCTCATCGGCGTCGCGCCAAATTCCTTGCCAACTTTCGGCCTCTGGGGGCCCTCACCGGAAACCGGACCGTTGAACAACCGATTCGGGATGAGCAACTGGTCCCGGGGAAGGGGTCCAGGCCTCTAGGGGTCCACGATGCGAGAAAAACGCGACGTCGTGCCGATCGCACACAGACGGATGTCGCGCCGATCGCACGAAAGGGCGGCGCCCTCTCCTGCCCCAGTCCCCATCTCCGTCCGCGGTCCATCTTTCCCTCAAGGCGGGCGGCAGGAGAGCGCGCACGCTCGCTCAGGCGCGCGTGCTGGGAAGCGATGCCGCGGCCGTGGCCGATGGCACAAGAGTGAAGGGGGCCTGGGACACACAAATAAATACACACAAATAAACAGATTCCCCATATTTTCTCATATTTTCTGGGTTTTTGTCTTCCCGCCCAATTCCCATATTTTCCATTTTCTTGAGGATCGACGATTAATTGTGTCTGTGTTATTTTTCCTCCTGAAACAGAGCTGGTCGGCGCTCACGTCTGGCTCTGTCTCACGCGGGCGCTGGAAGGCCCCCGGAGCACGGCTCTCGCCAAGAGCTAGGCTAGAGGAGGCGAGGAAGTCACATCGAGCAGCGCGTGGTGCGCTGGAGGGTGGCTCAGGAACTCCGGCGCCGCTGAAGACAGCAGATGGCCACTCCATGACCTTGAGCATGGAGGGGAAGACCAGCTCGTTGATGATGATGGCGACGATGATGCGAGCTCCATCGCGGCGCCCCTCCGTGTGTGCCTGTGTCATCCTCATCCTCCACCACCTTCTCCTCCTCATAACCATCAGCATCATGAATTACCAGCATAATATTATTCCAGATCCTCCACCTCCTCCCCCATACCTCCCTCCCACTCCCCAGATAACCTTCTGAGGCCCACAGAGCCTCGTTAAATCTCCTCACCCCCCTCCTCTTTGCTCATCCTGCGCCGCCTCTCTCCGTCCACCTCCCCATCCTCCTCCCTCTCTTCCACCTCCCTCATTCGCTCCTCCTCCTTCTCCTCCACCTTCTCCTCATCCTCCACCTCCTCCTCCTCCTCCTTATCCTCCTGTGGTTGCTGCTCATACTCCTCCTCTCCATCCCCCTCCCTTTCCTCCTTCTGCCTCCCTCCTCCCTTCCTCCCTGCTTTCCCTCCTCCTTTTCCTTTCCCTCCTCCTCCTCCACCTCCTCCTCCTCCTCCCGCCATCGCTCCCCCTCCCTCCCTCCCTCCCTCCCTCCCTCCCTGCTCTTCCTCTGCTGCCCCTGCGCCGAGGGACCGGCCGCCTGGATGCCGTGCTGCCGGTACCACTGGCGGGCGTCCGGGCCCACGAACTCCTCCACGTCGTCCAGGAGCCGGGCCCGCATGTCGGCCTGAGGAGACAGGCGGGGCGGCGCACACACGCACACACACACGCACACACACACACACGCACACACACACACACACACACACACGCGCACACGCGCACACACGCACGTACAAGAACACACGCACACACAAAGTGTGTGTGTGTGTGGGTGTGTTTGTTTGTGTGTGTGCGTGTGCGTGTGCGTGTGTGTGTGTGTGTGTGTGTGTGTGTGTGTGTGTGTGTGTGTGTGTGTTGGTTTTTGTGTTTTGTGTGTTCGTTTTGTGTGTTATGTGCGTTTGTGCTTCCTCGGGCATCGGCGATCGGTCCCGCCGCGCTCTCCCGCGAACGAGGATACTCACGAGGTGTGTGTGTGTGTGTGTGTGTGTGTCGTTTTGTGTGTTATGTGCGTTTGTGCTTCCTCGGGCATCGGCGATCGGTCCCGCCGCGCTCTCCCGCGAACGAGGATACTCACGAGGTGCACCAAGCAAACCCAGAGCCATGCGAAGACCAACCTGTAATGGGTGAGCCCGCGTGCGAAACCCAGGCATGCCGGGGTGAGGAAAGGGGGGACGGGAGAGGAGGAGGAGGAGGAGGAGAAGGAGGAGAAGGAGGAGGAGGAGGGAGGAGGAGGAGAGGGAGAGGAGAGGAGGAGGAGGAGGAGGAGGAGGAGGAGGAGGAGGAGGAGGAGGAGGAGGGAGGAGGAGGAGGAGGGAGGAGGAGGGATGAGGAGGAGGAGGAGGAGGATGAGGAGGAGGAGGCCGAGGAGGAGGAGGAGGAGGAGAGAGGAGAGAGGAGAGAGGAGATAGGAGAGAGGAGAGAGCCAAGCCAGGTGCGCTCGCGCCACATCTGACATCCGATCCCTCCCCACCATCTGTTCCCATTGCGCTGCTGTTGTCTCTGTCCGCGGACGCGCGTCATGGCCGACCTGGCACTCTCCGACAGAACCAATCGTGTTACAGTCGGGGCGCTGACCTAAGGAACCCTAAATAAGGAACGAGGCCCCTTTTCTCCAGAAGTTGAACTTCGATTTCCCTTCGAAAACCTCTGCGAAACACTTAAGGAACGCGGAGCCCCTCCCCAACGAAAAGGGTTCCTTCTTCAGGGCCCCGACTGTATGCGCAATCGACAAACGGAGTTGCGCACACAGGAAGAGGAGGAGGGGGAGGAGGAGGAAGAGAAGGAGAAGGCAGGTGAGCAGGAGGATGCGGGATCCGACCAGTTGCAGTGCGGAGCTAGCTTTTCGAGCATACCGATGTCGGCGCCGTCGTCCATGCAGACTTGTGCATGACATAAGTCTGGATCAAGGACGACTGCTTACTGGCTTTGCGGCTGCGCGATATCTGGAGATTATGCCGAACAACCATCCGAATCGCAACAAACCAATAGCCGCGAGGCAGAGAGAGGAAGGGGAGGGAAGGGGAAGGAAACGGAGTGAGTGAGTGGGGAGAGGGACTGGAGGAATAGGGGGGGAGGCACGAGGGAGTAAAAATGAGGAAGGAGGAGGAGGAAGAGGAGGAGGAGGGAGAGGAGGTTGGTCAGAAGGATGGGCTGCAGCAGAAGGAGGAGGTGACTGACGCTTCGGGTGCGCATGCCCTGCAGCTTGCCCAAATAGAATATTAGCCTGGCAAGGGACTCAACAATATGCAGTTGGGAATACCGTCGTTGTTGGTATCGCCTTCGGTGGATCTCCTCGTGGTGTCACGGAACGCGTGGAGACTGCGCCGAAATCGGGCAGGGCGGAGCTCCCCATGGGGCCACGAAGCGTGCGAGGTGTGTGCCGAAGCGGGCGGCGCCGCCATGCGGACTGTGCCACTGGGACGTAAGGTGGAGTTCGGAGTTCCCTCTGGGGGCCACGAAACGTGCGAGGACTGTGCCGACATGGGGCGGCGCCGCCATGCGGACTGCGCCACTACCTTAAGTGGAGCCCCCTTATGGGGCCACGGAACGTGTGAGAGGTGTGCCAAAATGGGGCGGCGCCGCCACTGGGGCGTTAGGTGGAGCCCCCCGTGGGGCCACGAAACGTGCGAGGGGTGTGCCAAAGTGAGGGGGTGACGAGAGGAGGAAGGAGGAGGAGGAGGAGGAGGAGGAGCAGCAGCAGGAGGAGCAGGAGGAGGAGGAGGAGGAGGAGGAGGAGGAGGAGGGGAAGGAAGATGGGGAGGAGGAGGAAGAGAGGAGAGGAACGCAGAGACCGCCTCTGCAAAACGAGGGCCCAACACCACTGAATGGCTGGGGAAAGAAGAGGTGCAGGAGGAGGAGGAGGAGGAGGAGGAGGACGGAAAACGATGCGCAGGACGAGCAGAAGGGCCACGGAGAGCCAAGCGGATAAGGAGGACAGTCCCAGAAAACACACCAGTACTGGCAAAAGAAAAGGAGAAAGACGGAACGAGAGAGAGAGAGGGAGGGATAAATAGGGAGAAAGAACAAAGGGGAATAGAAGCATAACAGAAGACACAAGAAAGAGGGAGAGAGAGAGAGAGAAATAAAGAAAGAAAGACAGAGAGAGAGAGAGAGCGAGACTGAGTATACACGCACATGTACATACAAAGAGAGAAAGTATCGGCGACCACGGCCAGAGCATAGCATACAGGTTTAAGGGTGCATGTCAGGTCCCATAGAACCGATTTGAAGAAATGGAGGGAGAGCGAGATACGTATAGAGAAAACAATAAAAAATGGAGAGAGCAGGGAAAGAGAGAGAGAGAGAGAGCGAGAGATAATAGAGAGTAGAGCTTAACGGATGAAAAAGCATAGCGGGATTAAGCAAACCCTGGGAAATGAGAGAAAGAGAGAGGGAGAGAGAGAGAGAGAGAAAGAGAAAGAGAGAGGGTCCCGTTATTCTAAAGAAAATGATCCTGCATTCTTTTTTCACAACGTCGTCAGGCCCTCTTCTCGAGAGGGTGCGCCAACCAGGGCGCGGTGAGCGCGCCGCGGGCACCCTGCTCCACCTAACGTATTTGCTGAGAAACGGCAGCGGTCGAAACGCAGCTGCAACGAGGCATGGACAACGAGAGGAAGAAGCTGATCCTCTCAGGGTGGGAAAGAGAAAAGAAGAGAGAAAGAGAGAGAGAGAGAGGTCCAACGCGCGAGCGGGTGCCCTGCCTGTCGAAGGCCAGGTGGTCGGAGGCGGTCTCCAGGTCGGTGGCTGGCTCATCCGAGACATCGCCATCACGTCGTCGCCTTGGGGACTACATGGGGGCTGATAATAAACCGCCACCTCCTGGAGCTCAAACGGGCCTGGGCACAGGCCTACGGGGCAAGACGGGACAGCGCTGGCAGGAGGATTGAAATAGGGGGTTCGAAGTAGGCCTCAGAGGAGGTCGGGTTTCGGGAAAAGGAGGAGGAGGAGGGGGATCAGAACAAAAAACGGCCAGGCAAGTCAAAGCTTCAATCTTGGCGGTCCGAAGCCGTTGTCCGCCCAGACTGCGTCTTCACACGTTGGTTTCCACTTTCGTGAACTCATGGGGGGCGCGGGAACGAGAATCTGAAAAGCATGCCAATTCTCCTCCTACCTGTAGGCGGCCGGCTACAACCGCCCCCGCAGCTCCTAGCAGACCTGTTCCTACGTGGCGGAGAACGGCCTGATCATTAGAAATGACCACGATATTGGTATCTGAAACGCGCTGGGAAACTGTTGCAACAAAAAAAACCGCTTCAGACAAGTGAAACCAAGTCAGAATAAGGTATGCCCGAAAAGCCCGCGAATACCTCCAGCTGCCCACTGGAGTCGCAAGCCAAGACTAACATGCTGTGAGAAGCCCCACGATAAACGATTCGCCCCTTGGCCCCCGAAATCTGCCACGGCGCTCAAGACGCCCGCTCGCGTCCGCCACCGCCATCGGAGTCGTCAGTTTCACGAACGGATCAGGGTAGCGCACTCCCATCGATGATGTCGCGGAAATATTGCCACCCTCTTCTCCTCGCAGCGAGGTCACTGCGCCTTGGAAACCACAAAACATGCCCACAAAACTCGTTGACCATGCCCAAAAACTCTCGTCCGTCTTCGCGACCTCCATCACGACGATGGACGCCGAACTCCATGCCGCACGGCTCGGGAGCATATTCTTCTCGCCCAAGATCGACCGGAGCCCGCTTGCCTCAGCGCGGTCCATGAGCTCATCTCCGCTAGGTGCTTCAGCAACTGGAGTCGGGGTCGGCTCGCGATCGTCTTCGCTGGCTCCACGCCGAGGTTCTGGGGTGGGTGGATCGCACCCCGACGGCGCCAGTAACTCGCCGGGCTTGTCGCCGAACGACGAGCGCATCGCCCGCGCCAAGTGTTCGCCCTGTCCGCGAAGCTTCGCCCCCTCCTGGCGGCCAGCCTCGCCCATGAGGGAGGCCTGATACTCGGGGCCCACCTGGGCCAAGGAGCCCCCGAGCGCCCCGACGTCCTTGCCGGGGCCAGATGGCGAGTGCTAGCGAGAGCGCAACCTGCGGCTGTTGCGGGGAGCTTCGCGGCCTCCACAACTGCCGAATCCGCCCAGATCGCCTCGACCACGGCGTCGTTCTTGGCACGGGCCCCGCCGGCGGTCGCGGTCCATGCCCGAGTCGCGCCTGCGGCCCCAGTCCTTGCGATCGCAGCGGCGGTCGTCGCCGCGGCGCCTCCGCCTGTCCGGCCCGCGCCAGTCGCCCCGACGGCGGTCGCGGACGCGGTTTGCCTTGCACCCCTTCCAGGGCGCCCGCCTATCGCGGGCGCTCGCGTGGCAGCGCGGACGGACGAAGGACGCCCAGTCACGCGCCCGAACCCGAGCCGCCCGCATAGTTGCGGGCCGCGGGCAGGCCCGGAGGGCGGCGACTCGAGGGCCAGGGGGGCGCCCGAGAAGATAGATTTCGACGGTCAGCGCCAGCGACTAGGCTCGGGCAGTAGAGACCGAGAGGCTCGAGAACTGCCCGCGGGCCAGGCGCCCAGGCAACGGGGGGGCCAGAAAGTTGAGACCGCGGGATGGAGTGCCAGGCCACGGCGAAGCGTTCGTCTTGGCACGGGGCCCAGCGGGGCCCTCGGAGGCCAACCAGGCCCCGCTGTCATTCT